AGAGCGCGTGATACCTTCGATTTCCGATCGGTCAACGCCGTTGACTTTGCCGTGACGTCAGCTTTCTGGATTGGTCAAGTTTGTTTGATTCCGAGAAGATTTGATTTGCGGTCAACTGTTCGGCCAGCCAGATCTACATAAATTTTAAGCAGTAAGTTTTCTTCATCAAACCTTTAGACTCGCTGCGCATAGGTTTATGTTGAATGTTTGTCCGTGATTTGTGCATATCGAGATCCTCATATGTCCCAACAGAAACAACAACAACCGCAGTGACCTTAGGTCCCTTTCATTTATTGCTTTGAGCATTCGAGGAAAAATGAGCATTTTCAACCATATCTCTCTGCACTCTCTCTTCCTCTTGCACAACCACCTGATACAAGAGATTTGGGGCGAGGGGAAGTCGTTGTAGCTAAGATTGCTTCAGCGGAGAACTTAGCAGACCTTTTTACTATGGCTCTTCCAGCGTAAGCTTACCAGAAACATGTAGAAAGAATGTGAGTCAAATGTATGGATGTTTAAAGCAACAAAGTCTTTGTGTATGGGTTAGACAGATAAGTCGATACTTAGAAAGCAATAACTTTAAGCATAAGTGGGAGATTGGTGATTTGTATACTGAAGCATTGTTTTGTTTGAACTTATTTTAATACTTATACATTGTGTTCTTGTGCGCCATATTGATGATGTTCTCGAGATGAGCTCAAAAGGATTATTACGTCAAGCTCTACAGGAAAATTGACTTTCGTCATGATAGTAAGGATTGAGTAGTACTAATCTAGAAAATACAAGAAGGTAATTAGTTAAATTATTGTAATTAAATTAATAAACAAACACCCAAGAGCGCTTGGATGAGATGGCTTGGGTCTCTTCCAGCTTAACCAGTGGTCTCATGTTCGAGCCCTGGGAATACAGCAGTGTTAAAACTCTTGAGGGAGAGCTTTGCCGCTCTTGTGGTCCTACCCGGCTCGATTCCGGATTAGTCGGTTCCCCTGTGGATCCGAAAACCGGAAGGTCCCTGTACCAAAAAAAATTAATAAACAAACGTTATATTTTAAATATGAAGAGATAAATCAAGGATAGTAGAGTCCGTGTAATTGAGGTGAGAAAAAGGTAGTACAATAATAAATATTTATTGGACTTTATTGATAATGGCCAAGGAATACAGTGGTCCACAGTCTAGGATTTTTTGCGCATTGGGAGACCTATTTCTGACCTCCTTATGTTGCATGTTGTAGCCTAAAAATAAACCATGTGGAGGTGTCATTCTTTTTCTAGTGATCACATATTTCACACACCCAACCCCAATAACGCGAGTGAGAGAAAAGGAAGGAGTGCCAACACATTAGTTTGGGAGGTCGTCGCCTACACGACGCCCAACCGAGGTGAAGGAATACAACACAAGACGTTATGGTCACGGGCATCAACGAGAGACACATGGAAGCGAGGTTGTGAAGGCAAAAAAGTAAGAATCGTTCGTCCGACCTCATAGACCGTGTAAGTCGTCTCAAAGTCGGCTTAAACAAAACCGTAAGAGTATGATCCTAAACATTAAATTCGTTGTGCTTAGAATTGATTTCTTTGAATTCAATCAGAGAACAATAACCGACTTTATTCACTAAAGCCAACATGATTAAGCTTAAGCTCCCAACTCTAGCTTTCAATGAAAAACCCTCTCGAGTGAGAGCCGATTTCTCTCGAATGAGAGCCGCAATTCCTTCATTGAAGGCTTGATCACCATTTGCAATCCGTAATTCTTATTGTTTGGTATTCCTGTGTATTACTTATCTTTCCTCTGTGATTTCCCCGCCCTTACTTAACCCTGTTGGTGTTATATACTTAAGCTGTGCCTTGGTGGATATTACACTTGTTATTTCTTGATGAATGAAAATTATGTTTGGTTAAATAAGTTCCACGTTCTGTTGTTTTGCATGTAGATAGTGGGTCGTCATCGGGCGTACCGAAGATCACTATATCAGTTACTTGCGAAACAAGAATCATTGGTTCACAACCTAGATGGAATTGAACAACCCATCGAAACAGTTGTAGTGTCAACCGTATGGTTTGTCTTGACAGATTGGGCACTAGTACATTTATGTATTGAACAAGATCCTAGAGAGGGATGTTCATTTTATACTGATCGTCGTAAACGAACTAGGCCTCAGTTAATTATTGCGTGCTCGTAACCCGTAAGATATTAAATAGGCATGTGCACATAATTGTTGTTGCTTTGATTCTTTAGGTGAGATCCAAGCCGGGTCGACATACTTAATGAATTGGGTAATGACATTATGTGTTCGATGTGCTATTAGGATATTTACGGTCACCATGTGCGTTAGTCTGATGATGTTCCCGAAGTGAGTTCATGAAGGAATATTATGCTAAACCCTGCAGGTGGATTTATTCCGGCATAATATGAATGCTATGAGCGAGCGCTAGCTTCGGTAATATAATATATTAATTAATTCTTGATTATTAGTGATCGAATTAATTAATGGACATTATATCTTAAACATGGGGAGGTAAATCGGATAATTATAATAAGGAGTCTCAAATGTAATTTGGGATAGGTGAGGGGAGTGCAATAATATTATTGTGGTGGACTTTAATATTATTAATATATTAATTGTGGGGTTGCTCCACAATATTAATATATTAGAAGCCCTTATCCTATTCTCCTTAGGGTCCCTACTGTAGCTCTATATATACAGCATTATGCTCATGGAAGAAGAGAGACAATCCCATAATAAAAAAACGTCTGCCCCCCTCTCTCTCTCTCTCTCTTCCAAGGAGTTGTTCTATTTCTTGTGCTCCACTGATACAAGATCTAGATAGCTGTTTGAGAATACAGTAGAAGATCTTAAGGTATATACGGGATTCCAATCAAATCTATCATCCATCCAAATCGGAGACCAAAACCAGCAAGTGACCATACCACGACGACCAGGACGACGAGTCGGAGAGATCGCCGTCGAGATCGCCGCCAGCCGCCGCCGCACGCGCCACCGAAGATCCCAGCTGCTGGAACTTACACGCGCGCGTGAGAGCGCGTGAACCCTCCGATTTCCGATCGGTCAACGCCGCTGACTTCGCCGTGATGCCAGCTTTCTGGATTGGTCAAGTTTGTTCGATTCCGAGAAGATTTGATTTGCGGTCATCTGTTCGGGCCAGCCAGATCTATATTAATTTTAAGCCGTAAGTTTTCTACATCAAACCTTTAGATCCGCTGCGCATAGGTTTATGTTGAATGTTTGTCCATGATCTGTGCATATCGAGATCCTCATGGGTTCCAACAATTGGTATCAGAGCACGAGGTTAATCCGTTATTTACAAGATCCGGATTAAACGGCTTATATTGTCTATGTGTGCTCAAGCGCAGCCATACATATTGGATTATTTGCATAACTTGGTTTTGCAGGAAGTAGTTAATCCACTATTATGGCCACCTTTTTATGTGCTTGTGCTTAATTGATGGTTGGTTGTATGGTTTTAAATTTATTTTTAAAGCCTCGGGACTGTCGAGGAATTATGGATGAATGCTTGTATTTATTGCCCGGGGGTTGACTGGATAGTTTAATTTATTAGTAGAAGGCATGTACATCCACTCGCTGGATCTAGGAATCGATTTATGTAATTTTGTAAATTATATTTTTCGTATTGTGATCGACCGTTGGAGACCGGGCTTTTACAAAGATCCAAAGAGCCTCGACGGACAAAGCAAGGAAGAAAACGGAGCTGGGAGCCAAGGCTGGCCGGCGCGGCCTCGGCTGGCAGCTTGACAACATCCATGGTGGAGGTTTTGTGGACCTTGCAGTACAAGTCAACCGGGATTCTACTGCAGTTGGAGTTCTAGTTGGTTTAGGAAAGAAATCCTAATCCAAGAATAATAAATATTTAATTGGCCATAATAGTGGATATTTATTTATGGCATTAATTATTTATTTGTTTATTCATGCATGGAATTAATTGTTGCCTTGTGTGCATAGAGTTATTTAGAATTGCATGAATATATTAAAAATCCTCATTTAAATACTAAGTTGAGAAGGATATTTAAAGTTAAGATAATTTTAGATTCCTAAGGCATCCATTTCAAATTCGTTGGTAAATCAATTAATTGATAGTGTGGGCTTCCCCGAGGATGACATTACTTGAAATTAATTGAAGGATAATTATCAGAACGAATTTCTAAATTTAGACGGTTAGAGGAAATCGAATGAGAGCGTACGGTTCACCCCGAGGTGAATGTATAATCGATTTTGACAACCTTAGGATCGAGAAATGGGATTCACTTAGAATGCGATTCATTTCATAACCCCCCGAGGGGTCCCTGATTTTTATTGCATGGCCAAACAATGACCGATTATTAATTTCGTTCGTCATGAAATTGGTTTTGACTAATGGAATATAATGGGTTCTGGAAAAACCCTTCTTTAAAGAAACGAAGAATTAGTAGAGTTGCCCGAGCATCATACTAAATTCTCAAGGTTTAAGGGTATCGGTGAATTTAAGTT